CTTAGTCATGTCTCTTGACCAAGCAATGAGCTGGTGCCCTGACACAGGGAGAGCAAGGGAAGAGAACGAAGAACCAACATGGGGGGACTTGGAAGGTAGAAGGAGAACAGAGGAGACACCCCAGAGTTGTGGGGTTTGAGCTGGGTCTCAAGTCAGTGGTCTCCCTCGACTTGCATAAAATTGGGTCCCTTTCAAGTGCCAGCAATGTCAAATGTGGTCCCTATATATTGATATCCTGAGTATTGTAAAAACATATGAATACAAATATCTTACTTGAAGGTAATAAATCTTGTTCTCATTGGCTCTCTACCATTCTATATAGTGTCTATATAGCACTCTATTGCTCATTACCAGCATGCTTACCACACTACCAGCTTCTACCAGCAACCTACAGTGCTATGTAGTGCAGAAGTCAGCTATGTAAAGAGACCCTTGCACATCGTGGGTCTATGGAGACCTGGAAAGGGCTACGGATGCAAAGTGCCCTACCGACCCTATATAGCACGATATAGACAGAGCCCATTTTACTGACGTTGGATGTCAACGCGCATACACGCGTACCTCATTGCGCATTCCAACTCTCCTCTCTTATCCTTACCTCTCTATCATGCCGCCCATCAACCCGTCCGGTCCACTCCCCCTTCTTGTCATTCCTGGCGTGGACCCATCTACGCCCATCAACTCGCAGATCGATCAGATCGATCAACAGATTACATTCATGCTGCAGGACATTGATGCAAACTTTGCGAGGATACATCATGTTATCACGGAGAAGATCATCCCGGCATTGAAGAGGTTCGACAGGGATACACATCCTGTGAAGGAGGCGAGCAAGGTACGTGGTCTACGGATGCCTGTGGGAAGAGAGTTAAATAGACGCACAGTTCTGGAGGAGCTTCTTTGAAGCAGCGGCACAAATCCAGGTCGCACCGGGGGATCAATCGCTCATCTCCGGCACTCAAACCTACACCGAACAAGAGACCGCACAGGAAACGATCTCCGCACATGACGCGACGCATATCGCCCAGTCCTTCCTCGGCCCTGCTGTCTCCTCTACCCCGCTGCCAGGTGCAACCCTCTCCAGCCAGCACATCTCCACCGACCTCTCTTCCCGCGCTCCTCGCTCACCAGAAGAGGAGAGCTGGGCAGCGAGCGTTGAGAGCCCGTTTACGAAGCTCGATCGACAGCTGCGGGATGATATGCGCCTGGAGGGAGGGGCGGGGGAGAACCGACCTGCGGAGCTGCAGGCTCATGCACAGAGCGCGGCTATGCTCACCGAGTATTCATCGATCCTCAGCTCTGAAATGGACACGCCACAACATTCGCCCATGCACACGAACTACCTACCTCCGTCTTCAGTAGGCTCGAGTACGATGGGCAGTATCCTCCCACCCGCCGAGCCGACGGTCCGCACCGGTGCGAGCGCGTTGCAGTCTGCCCTCGCAGCGCCAGTAGACAAAGGGAAGGGCAAGGAGCACTCAGATCGTCCCGCACTTACGGACCGAACAAATACCGCGTTACTCAAGAACGTGCTCAAGGCGAACGCACAACGCACACCGAGGGCGGCGATGAACCCCTTCAGGCAGGTCGAGGACCAGGGAAAGAAGTGGAATGGCATCGCAGACTTGCGTGTCCCTTCACCCGCGAAAGCACACATGCGGACTCCAAGAAGAGGCGCGCAACTTGATCTGAGCATGGATGACGATTCGGACGACGACGGCCTGCCTCCGGGCATGTCTCCACCTGTAACGATGAACTTCACGTTGCCTGCCAAGAAGTTAGCCCGAACTCCGGCGAAGGAGGTCGCCCGTCTGACAGTAGAAGGGATGACCAGAGGACTGGGGGGTGACACGCCGTCACCCGAGGAAGAGAGGACGACTTACGGCTGGCAAGAACCGAGCCTTGCCCACCCGACACCTCCCCGCCGCCGTCCATCTGCCACCCCAGCGAAAGTGCGCGCTTCTCTGCTCCCTGGAGCAGGTACCGCACGGTTGAGCGCCCTCCACCCCCGCGTCTCGGAGATAATGCAAGACGGAAATATCTCCTTCACTTCGTCTGACGACAGCTCGTTCGAGGACTTTGGTTCTCCCCCAACGCAACACTTGAACTATCCTGCGCACCCCAGTGCTAGCCAGCACGAGGAATCCTTCGACAGTGAGGGAGATAGCTTCTCCAGCATCGGTTCCGCTCCCCCAGGCGCACAAGGTCCACCCTTAGGAGGCAGGGATTTCTCAGTAGACGACAGCTTCAGCTCCGAGGACAGTTTCGCTCCTCCTGGCCGCAAGGCTGCGGAACAGGAAGAGGAAACTGTTTTCGGGGTGAGCAAGGAGGACGGTGGGCTGGGGCGGGCGCCTCAGAGACGGCGCACGGAGTTTGAGCTCCTGGGAAGGGATCAGGAGGATATGACGGTCCATGGGGGGAGAGTGCAGGATGCCCCGGCTGGGGAGAGCCCGACGCCTTGGCGCAGAGATTGATCTGGCTCATGGGGATCTGGGTCAGAGGGCAAGTTGTAATGCGGCGACTATTTTGTTATGTTTGTATGTGTCATCGTTTTTGGATTCTCTTTGTTCGTGGATCTCTCCTGGCGTCTAATATTATCATGTCGGAAGGGAATCATGCCTTTGTCTCGTACATCTGCGTCACTGCCTTATGTGGCAACTGGAGGATACCGCTTTCTGCAGGCTCACGAGACGGGCGTCTGTTTCGTTTCTGCCTAATCTGACTTTAAGCTTGTTGGCATTTCCGGCACTGGTGGCTACGCTTCCCGTTTGAGCACAAAAGCTTGGTAGGGATCAGCCTATGCCGGCTTTTGAGCAGGTCGGACTTTTCTTGTCCGTAATGATGATGGAGGCCTAGACCTTATCACAGGGAACGTGACTGATAACGTCTATTGTTCGAAGAGAAACGTGGCTCGCCTCGGACGGCACAGTCGTAGCGGGAACATCGGCTGGTGGTTCCTGGGCGACAGAATGTGGAAACTATTAGCTACAAGCCTGATGTTGACCACAGAAGTTCTGTTGTGCTGTGCTCACCGGTGAAAAGTTGGTCAGTGGACGCCGGCACAGACCGCTCAGGGCTTTGCACATGCGCAGAGAGTGAATTGGAAGCTCTTTAGGACGTCTTTTTCCTGTGAAGCCTGCATGAGCCACAGCCGAGCGGCTTGTGGTATCCCTGGATGTAGAATCGATTGACCAATCATGATATCTGTAAATCCGAAAATTGCAGTGCCATCTAGAAGCAATATAAGAGAGAGTCGGCGGTAGACTTGTGCCGGTTTGAAAGAGAATAAGTGAATTATTATTATATGCATATCGAGGTAGAAAGAAGGCAGATAAAGAAGGATTCGTACATTACTCGGCTCCCACCGTCGACCATTCCGATATGACCAACCTTCAACCCATGGCGTACATAATCCCTCCCATTAGGCGCCAACCCCCCCTCACTCCCCCAACTCCCCCCTTCATACCCTCCAGTCATGTCCCTCTATCGTGCAGCGACTAACCCGCGCGAGTCTATCCAGCAGATATACTACACCACCGTCGTATGTCCATTACCTCATACCTGCTGACCACACCAACCTCGTATCAGGACACAGTCGGTAGTGGTGCCTCGCAAGCGGCAAGTCTGCTCGAAATCGATTGGCTCTCTCGTCGACCTGTGCCCAAGTCCCCTGATGGCCTCTACAGCGACCAGGCAGCCCCGGAGAGCGACGCGGTGAACCCGAAGCATAGTACTGCTCTGCAGCTTGTGGAGGCCGTGACCGAACGGCTGAGGAAGGGCATGCCTCTCACCCCGGATTGGAGCACGTACAAGGCACTTATGGATGGGTTGGAGAACAATAACTGGGTCGGGCTGAACGATAGGGAGTTCCTGGTGCGTGCTGAACCTTGACTGTCGAGGCTGGGGCTGATCCAGAGCAGATGGAGAAGGTGTTGATTTGCGCAAGCAAGCTCCCGCCTGGAAGTCGCATGGCCCAGCAGATGAACAACTTCCTCGTCGGACTGCTGTATAATGATCTTCCCCACCCGCCTTCGACTTTCGTCGGTCCTAGGACGGCTTTTCGCTCTGCCGACGGCTCGGGGAACAACCTGCTCATCCCTTCCCTTGGGGCTGCACATACACCTTATGCACGGAGCGTCACCGGGCAGCACCCGACGACACCTTCCCTCCTCCCCGACCCGGGGTTGATCTTCGACACCCTCCTGCGGCGGGAGGAGAGGCAGGACCACCCCGCTGGTGTGAGCAGCATGCTCTTCGCCTTTGCGACGATCATCATACACTCCCTTTTCCGCACATGCCCTGAGCCCGAAAAGAGGCATATCAACGATACGAGCAGCTACCTCGACTTGAGCCCGCTGTATGGTGCTGACCAGGCGGCCCAGGATACGGTGAGGAACAAGGATGGAAGGGGGAAGCTGTATGAGGACGTGTTCGCCGAGAACAGGCTGCATATACTGCCCCCTGCCGTGTCAGCACTGCTCATCATCTTCTGCCGTAACCACAATGTGCGTTCTTCCCTACTTTGGTAAATGTATGCTAACCATTCGCAGTTCACATGCGACAAGCTGCTGCAGATCAACGAGCGCGGGACATGGAAGGACCCCGCACAGCTGAAGGACGACGCCGCCCGGCGAGCGCAAGATGACGAGATCTTCAACACTGCGCGGTTGATCAACTGCGGGTTCCTGATGAACATCATCCTTACCGACTACCTGTCCGCCATCCTAGGCCTCGTGCGCGAAGGCTCGCAGTGGGTACTCGACCCGCTCGAATTTGTTCGCAAGGCCGACCACTCCCTCCTCGACCGCGGAACGGGCAACGCCGTTTCAGTAGAATTCAACTTGCTTTACCGGTGGCACTCGCCCATCTCGCTCGAAGACGAGAAATGGACCGAAGGCCTCTTCCGGACCATCTTCGCCGACGAGCCCAATATCGCCTGGGACGAGATTACCATCCCGCAGTTTATGCAGAAGGTGGCTGCGATCAGCACTTCCGACCAGGATCCTAGGGACTGGACACTCGAGGGCCAGAAACGGGATCCTGTGACGGGCAGGTTCTCGGATGAATTGCTGGCAAAGCTTTTGCAGGACGCGACGGAGAACTCGGCACAGGCGTTCCGTGCCAGAGGGACTCCTGCGGTCATGCGCGTTATCGAGATGCTCGGGATTAAGGAGGCGCGCAGATGGGGCGTGTGCACGTTGAACGAGTTCCGCAAGTTCCTTGGGCTGAAGGGTCTGTCCTGCCTTCTCATAGCTGACTCTAGTATTGACACAGCGCAGAATACAAAAAGTTCACAGACTGGAACTCGAATAAGGAGGTCGCTCATGCCGCTGAGCGCCTCTACGGGCACATCGACAACCTCGAGCTCTACCCCGGTCTTCAGGCCGAAGAAGCCAAGCCGGTCGTGGACGGTGCCGGCCTCTGCCCGGGGTACACCATCTCCCGCGGGATCTTGGCTGATGCGGTTGCGCTCACTCGTGGAGACCGACATTTCACGACGGACTTTACGCCCCAGGCGCTGACGGCGTATGGCTACCAGGACTGCTCGCGCCAGACGGATAACGGGTCCTATGGAGGCACACTGGGACGCTGTGAGTTTGCCCTTTGTTTCTTGTAGAGGAGCTTACGAACCCCTGCAGTGCTCTTCCGCCATTTGCCCGACTACTACCACGACGGCGACATCTACGGCCACTTCCCTATGATGGTCCCGAAGAAGATGCAAGAATACCTCTCAGTCCTGGACCGTTCCAAGCCGTACAACTTCGACAGGCCGATCAAGCTCCCCGCTATTCGGGCTGTCAACTCGTACGAGGGTGTCAAGCATGTCCTGCGCGATCATAGGACGTTCAAGGTCACTTATGGCCCGAATATGAAGTTCCTTACTGAGGGATATGGGTTCTTCCTCGCCTTTGACGACCCTGCGAAGTAGGGTTTCTCCTTCACACCCTGGCACCTGCTGATGAGTTCATTCAGGCACAATCGAGATAGGCAGATGATGCAAGACGCCCTGTTCAGCGATGCGAACGCCTACCGCGTCATGGGCCAGTACTTCTATGACAAGACGTGCTCCTTCATTAGGGAAAAGTCGTACAGCCTCTCGGGACATCATCTGCGGTGTGTGGACATCGTAAGGGATGTAATCAACCTCGCTCCCGTACACTGGGTCTCGCGATATGTAGTACGTCATTGTCTATCTTTTCAGCACCCGTGAACTGGATTCTGATCACCCGCAGTCGGGCTTACCGATCAAGACGAAAGAAGATCCCAACGCCCCGTTCACGGAGCAGTCCGCATACCAGATCTACATGGTCATCTTCACGTTCATCTTCCTCAATATCCAGCCCGAATATGGCTGGTTCCTCCGGACGAACGCCAAGACCGCGGCTGCTGCTCTCCTGCAGACGATCGAGCTGCATCTAAATGCGATTTCTTCGTCGCCGGTACGTTGTTTCTAGGATACAGTGCGAGCGGGTGCTTAATCTGAGGTAGATCTCCAACCCTTTCAAGATCATCGACAGTATCATGCATACCCTGTGGGGGGAAGACATGGATGTCCACGCCTTCTTCAAGCGCCTCATCGCCGCGGCCGGGCCCGACCGGCCGGTCAAAGAGCTGGCATACAACGTCCTAGGTGTATCAGTCGCCTCAGCAGCCAACTTTGCCCACGCGACCGTGCACGTCGTGAACCTGTACCTGGAGGACAAGTACAAAGCTGCGAGGGACGATATCGTCCGTATTGCCGAGTTGGAGCATTATGGTCCTCAGGAGGAGAAGCTCTTGGAGGGATATGTGCGCGAAGCCATGCGTGCGTCTTTCTGCGCTCTTCTGATGCGCACTTGGCTAACTGCCTGCAGGGCTCGACCCCCAGGCACCGGGAATTTTCCGTAACGTCGCTTCTGATGCGTCGATCAAGGGGGAGAAAGACATGCGTGTGCACTCCGGAGATCGACTCTGGGTGAGCATGAAGAACGCGCAGATGGACGTGAGTGCTCCGCACCGCTCCTAAGGCGCATACTGATATTTTCAAGCCTAACGTGTTCAAAGACCCGGAGACGGTGGATCCCAACCGGGACCCGAGCCTGTATCTCATGTTCGGCGGTGGGTCACACGCGATGCACAAGTAGGTTCCCCTTCGCCTTCGCCTCCAGCACCACGCTGACCACGCCCAGCTGCCTCGGCGACCAGTTCACAATCAAAGTGATGCCCTACATGCTGCGGGCGATCTTCCGGCTCAAAGGGCTGAAGCGAGGCCCAGGGTCGAGCGGGGTGCTGAACCGCTTTGAGCAGGACTTGTGGGGTACCAAGCAGTTTATGTATATTAGCAGCCAGGGCGTGCAGGAGGGCCTGCCGACCCCTTGGCCGGGTACGATGGTTTTGCAGGTGCGTGAACGAGGTTTCTGAGCCTTGCACAATCCTAACGCCGGTTGTAGTATCACGACCACTAAAAGCAGCTCATCCCCAATGCGGATCCACGCGACTCCGATCTTACCGAACTTGTTCCCAAAATACCAGTCATTGTATATCACCCCTGGCCGCTTGTTCTGTTCATCTATGTTGTTTCATTGTTTCGTGCGACACTGCCTTGCTTGCTTCTTGTATTGTCCGTACCCGTATCAGTATATAAGGTGTAAATCCAAAAGGTGCCAGAGTGCCAGATAATGAACTTGTAATGTTCGTTAGTGCTTGTGCACAGATAGGTGGGTCAAACAGTGGAGCAATGCAGTGCGGTACATGATCTGATGTTAGAACTTTCATCAATGAAGCAGTACTGTATACGAGTCCTCGGCGATTGGCGTGACTTTCCTAAGTCGCCTCACTCGAAGTGATCATGTTCTGTATGTGGTCCCTCTCTTCCCTAAGGCAGTGCTGACAAATTCTTTTCTGTTCTTCCTTTTCTCACACCTTCCTTTATGTATACACACGTTCTAGATGCGCTGTACGTTATTGCTAAGTACTGTTGTTGCGGCGGTCACAAGGGCTGACGACCGTGGTAAATCAATATTATTTCCTTCTTAGACAGTCATCTGCGGTGCAATTAGTCAATGGTTCGATACGCGTCGCACGCAGTCTTCCATCCCCGTTCACAAACGGAATATATACCCTTCACCCCATCTCTCCCACTCTCCTTCTCACTTCCATCCCCCCACTTACCCCCCATCTAACGACCAAAAGCCACAGTATCATGCATTCCTCCATCCTCGCCGTCCTCTCCCTCGCTGCGCTCGCAGCTGCTCAGGATATCCCAGCGTGCGCGGAAACCTGCCTCGCGACCGTCATCACTACTGGCAACAGCACTTGCGCAGTGACGGACATCGCGTGCTTCTGCGATGACCCGACGTTCCTTTCCGTACGTCTTGTCCTCCCATCCATCCACCCTGCAACCTGCATACACTCTACCTCCCACCTCGTCCCCTTCACTAACCCCAACCACAGGACACCCTCGCCTGCCTCCAAACCACCTGCTCAGCCTCCGACCTCCAAACGGCAATCCAAGCCGCCCAAGCCGAGTGTGCCGCCGCAGGCGTATCCGTCAACCCCGCGCAGGTGACTCCCGCTTCCGGCTCTGGGAACTCGACCGGTGCAAGTTCGTCTCCTACGGCCGGTTCGGCCAGTGGGAGCCCGTCTCTTTCGGCCAATAGCAGCTCGTCTGCAAGGTACGCCTTTCTCTCCTTTGGGTGGGCTGTGCGCTGAAACGAGACAACCCCCCGCCTTCCAGTAGCAGCAGCAGTGGATCTTCTACTTCTCAGTCGCCCTCCAGTAGCCCGACCAAGTCCAGCGCGGCGATGCTCGGGGCTTCGGTCGACGGCGTGTGGGGAGCGCTCCTTGCCTTTGCTGGGATTGCGTTTACCCTCTAAGATCTGAAAAGGTTGAGGTGCATCGGTTACTAGCTAGGGACATGTACGCGTGCATGTGTGGAAGGACGACACTTGGTTGGACGGGTGGATTGATACATGGAATGAGACTCGCAGACTTGATATTGTGCTTCGATAATTATTTATACATTTTCAGACGATCCCAGACGCGTTTTTTTGCACAAGTTTCCAGACCTGAGACGTCCTTCGGGGAGCTGAGGATAGCACACTCTAGGACTGCTTTTTGCGGGCACATGGAAGTTTCAGGAAATGAAATACATTTTGGGCGGACATCTGGGGCGGTTACAGGGGAGTACGTAAGTGTAATGTACAGTCCGAGCGGTGCGTGTTTTTGAACTGCATCAAAGAATCTCCGACATTAAACAAAATGAACGAGCGAACCAAGCACCGAGCAAGCACCGGGAACGGTTATCCTCGTCTTAGACCCCGCACAGACTCGACTCGAGACTAGAGCACGTCAACCCTAACGCTCCCCCTCTCCTCCGCCAGCGGGATCTTCAAACTCAACACTCCGTTCTCCAGCTTCGCCGTGACCCCCTCAGGGTTGACAGCCTTGGGGAAAGAGACGTAACGCGAGAAGGAGGATTCGTAGCTGTACCCGGTAGAAGGCTGGAGTGCCCCAGCTTCGGTTTTCGTCACTGCTTGAGTCTCCGTGCTTGGGGCTTCGGTCGTCCCTTCAGCCGGAGCAGCAGGTTGGGCTAGCGCGGGGTCAGCAGACGTCTCCGATGAGACTTGGAGCGGTTGCACACCTTCCTGTGCCTGCCCACCGCGCCTCGACACCTTGCCCTCGATCGTCAGCCCATGCCCGCCATCCGCGATCCTCACTTCGACATCTTCCTTCCTCACACCGGGCAGTTCGGCCTCGACGACATAAGCCTCAGCGGAGGTGTCTTCATGCACGTCGAGCACGGGCTGGCGGGGGATGTCCCTGAAGAAGGGGTCGCGAAATCCTGAAAAGGCGGGGAATGCCGTTGAGGTGGGTGGGAAACGGGAGGGGATGAGCGGCTCGTCCAGCATCCGGATGAGAGGGCGCAGATCGTGCATCATATACCGCCAGAGAGACATGATAGCGAAAGTACTTGTGTTTGATGTTGAATGAGAGTTGGTGAGAGTGTTGCCCGGTGCGGGTGGAACAAGCGAGCCTTATATACCTGTCAAATGCGAGCCTGTGGGGATAAAAGTGTGAGAACGTGCCCCGTCATTCGAGAAGGTACAGTTATACATGGGTCAGGTGCTCGGCCGACCAGAACGGGAGTTGACCAAGAGAGGGCGTGTAAGGTGTAAGGGTGATGACTAGACTCAGCCGATCACTCACGGATGACTTGCCTCCAAGATCGAGATCGTGTGTCTGGAATCATCGAGAACCATATCGGGCTTCACGTGCTGAGTATCCCGATTAGGAAATAACAGTTGATTCCGTTCAGAGGGAATTTTCGAGCGCTTGTTTTTTGTTGGTGGACCCCTACCTTCTCGAGTGCTCGACTTTCGAAATACTGGACTAGACTAGACTGTCAATGAGAAATCTTAGAGAGAGATACAATGCTAAGGCACGGCAGTCTTCAAAGTCGGGGTCGCACAAAAAACGGCGGTCGCACGCTGTACCAGATGGACCGGACAAGGCAGACGCCAACGCCGAGCTGCTCCTTCCCGTGAGCAAGGCGGACAAAGAAGCCGCGCGAGCTGAACGACTTCGTCTCGAACTCTCAAACGGCACGAAGATGTCCTCTAAGAAGAAGAAACGGATGGACGCTTGGATCGCTAAGAAGGTCGCCAAAGACGAGCGGGTGGAGATTCTGAAGAAACTGGAGGTGCAGCAACGGGAGATGGACGGGCTGGGCTTAGTGAGCAGCAGTAGGCTTGGAAGTGGGCGATTGAATACTTGGAGGGAGGTTAGAGAGGTGGAGGAGGATCGGGCTGTGAGGAAGGCGATGAGGGGGAGGAGAGAGGAGGGCGACGATGAGGACGAGGATGGGGATTTGGATGATCCTGAGGACGGAGAGCACGAGGAAGGAGACGAAAGAGATTCGGGAGTGCAGGAAGGGGACGAAGAGGAGGAAGAATGGAAAGGATTCAGCGATCTCCCTGAGCCTGCCTCTCCCCTTCCTGATCCTCCCCTTCCACCTCCACCTGCCCCACCAGCATCAACATCGGCACCGGTACCGGCACCCACAATCGGCAGCGCACTCAAACGCGCAGACGGGACGATCACAGTACCCGTCGTTGTAAAACGCACCAAACGCAAGAAGCAGAAAGTGCGGGAGGTTACCCCTGAGAGCGAGTTTGACAGTTCGGACTCAGGGTGGGACAGTTCGGAGGGAGTGGACGAGCTGCCTGACGAAGATGGGCAGGAAGAGACTGGTAGTGATGAGGAAGAGGATGGCGAGGGAGAAGCAGGTGGAGAGGACGAAGATTCCCAGAGTGCATTACCGACTGGTTCGGTATTGGGAAAACGGAAACGTACTGGCGGGTTCAAAGACTGGGCTAATAAGCAACTCGATATCGCCAAAGGGTTCGACGCCGTTCCAGCGGCCGATACTGGCGACTCAACGGCTGCACATGAGCCAGGTCAGCAAGACGCAGTCGATCCTAGCACCCTCCCTCACCTCGCCGTCGTACCCCGTATCCCCGACCCACGCCCAAAGCCTAAACTCCCCTCCGGACCGCTCGGTGCCCGCCTCCCTCCCCCTTCGACCCCCTTCGCCGTTGCGCTCCGTTCCCTCCCTCCCAACCCACACAATCACCAGGCACTTCACCGGCCTGTAGACGTCTCCTCCTCCCGCCTTCTCCTGCCTATCACAGCCGAAGAACAAACGATCGTCGAGACCGTGCTGCTCAACCCTGTTACTGTCATCTGCGGTGAAACAGGGAGTGGGAAAACGACCCAGCTCCCTGGGATGCTGTACGAAGCCGGGTTCGGCGTGCCAGGGAGCGACAATCCCGGAATGATCGCCGTGACGCAGCCTAGGAGAGTGGCGGCGATGTCCACTGCCTCCCGAGTATCTCACGAGCTCGCCCTGCCCCCTCCTGTGGTGGCGCACGCGGTGAGATACGATACCACTACGAGTGCGGAGACGCGGATCAAGTTCGCTACTGATGGAGTGCTCCTCCGGGAATTGGCGGGAGATTTCATGCTTGAGAAGTACAGTGTTGTGGTGGTGGACGAAGCGCATGAGCGGACGCTGGGTACGGACGTGCTCATCGGCGTGCTGAGCAGGGTTGTCAAGCTCCGAGAGAAGCGGTTTATAGAGGGAACAGGAAAGGTGTGTCCTACACTGTCGAACTATCGATAGGAGCTGACGGGAGTAGCCTCTGAGGCTTATTATCATGTCCGCAACGCTGCGTATCTCGGACTTTATCGCTAACAGCGTGCTCTTTCCCACGCCGCCGCCGCTGATCCACGTCCCCGCGCGGCAACATCCTGTCACTATCCACTTTTCGCGCCGGACAGCGCCGGATTACGTGGATGAAGCGATTAGGAAAGTGGAGAGGATACATACGAGGTTGCAGGGGGGAGGGGTGTTGGTGTTCTTGACTGGACAGAGGGAGATCGAGTTGGTTTGCAAGAGGTTGGAAGGGAGGTGGGGGAGGAGGGAGATAGAGAAACGGAAGAAGGCTGGTGCGGCGAGGGCAGGGTTTAGCAGGAAACTGGACGGGCAGGAGGAGAAAGTGGAGAGGAAAGACGAGCCAGTAGCGGTCAACGCCAGACTGGGAGATGTGGAGCCTGAAGAGGTTGACCTTGGAGAACGGGGGGACGGGGTTGACCCTGCGGAAGATGGGGATGCGGTCAATGATGCGAATAGTGACGATGAGTACCATGTCGACGATGAGGAGGACGATAAAAAGCCATCGGAGAAGGACTCTTTTGATGGTGTGTGTCATGTTTTCCTATGCGATGAGTGCTGACAATCCGGCAGTCCCCATGCATATATTACCGCTCTATTCCCTCCTCCCCGGTGACAAGCAAATGTGCGTATTCCAAGACCCACCCACAGACGCACGTCTCGTCGTAATCGCCACGAACGTAGCAGAGACCTCTCTCACCATCCCCGGAATCCGATACGTCGTCGATAGCGGTCGTTCCAAAGAACGAAAGTATGATCTCTCGAGCGGGATCCAATCCTACCAGATCAGTTGGGAATCCAAGGCTTCTGCCGCGCAGAGGGCTGGCCGAGCGGGGCGCACAGGCCCTGGGCACTGTTATCGCCTGTACTCATCCGCGGTGTTCGAAAACCACTTTGAGGCATTCGCGCAGCCCGAGATCCTTCGCATGCCTATCGAAGGCGTCGTACTCCAAATGAAGAGTATGAACATCGATGCTGTTGTCAATTTCCCATTCCCAACTCCGCCGGATAGGCTCGCGCTCCGGAAAGCGGAGAGCCTGCTAGTGCATCTTGGGGCGCTCGAGCCGCCTAGTCCGGCTGCGAAAGACGGGGCACTTTCGGGAAGGATCACAGAGATGGGAAAGGCTATGGCGCTCTTCCCCGTTGCTCCCCGGTTCGCCAAGATGCTCGTAGCTGGGAAACAGCATGGGTGCTTGCCGTATGTGATCGCCATCGTCGCTGCTCTTTCGGTTGGAGATCCCTTCCTGCGAGAGGAAGCCGCTGGGAAAAAAGGCGATGGTGACGAAGAAGAAGATGATGATGACGACATGGATGTGGAGCTTGCGAATGTCAAAAGCGGCGAGCTACGAGTCAAGGAACAACAGAAACGTCGGCGAAAGGCGTTCTTCGATTCTCAACAAGCTTATGCAGCACTGGGGAATGGCACGAGCGACATTTTCCGCATGCTCGCCGCGGTCGGCGCATTTGAACATGAAGGCGGCACACCGCAGTTTTGCGGCATGCATTTTCTTCGACACAAGGCGATGGAGGAAATTCGCAAGCTCCGCTCGCAGATTACGGCCATCGTGCGTGCCAACTTCGGGAATATTATCAACCTCTTCGAGCCGCGGTTCAACCCACCCACGGAAGTGCAGCTCAAAGCACTGCGGCAGCTGCTCACGGCCGGCTTTGTCGATCACGTCGCAGTCCGAAAGGACATCGCATCTCCATCGTCTGCCACAGGAGCGAAGTACTCCTCTTGCCGAGGCGTCCCGTATCGCGCAATCGGCGTTGATGAGGACGTCTTCGTGCACCCCTCATCCGTGGTGTTCCACGGCCCACCGCCAGAGTACATCATCTTCCTCGAAATGGTTCGCACGAGCAGAGTATATGTCAAGACGCTCACTACGATCAACCCTGCCTGGCTGTCCATTCTCGGGCGCTCGATGTGCATTTTCTCCAAGCCGATGCAGATGCCTGCTGCGGTGAGCAAGAAGGTTGCCCCGGCGACGCAGGACAGTCGGCAAGTTCACGTCATACCGCGTTTCGGCCCGGCGGCGTGGGAGCTCCCGGCGGTGCTGATGACACAGAAGCGCGAGGGTACACGCTGGGTATACGTGCACTGATGTGTCTGCCAGCATGTTACCACACATTCGATACCCCTTTGTCATATGTAATACCCAGCTCTGTCATCATTAGCAAGATGTCTAATGCATACTTACTCATCAACATGCTCGTGGAATGTATCTTCATAGGTTGAGCAATATCCTCGCTCTATCCGAGCGATCATCACGTTGACCTTGCCTCATTCGCCATCTTCCGCGATGTGCTGGCCAACTAGCGCGACAGTGAAGCCGTCGTCGTTCTGGAAGAAGCCGAACATCAGACGACGACGTAGTGCTTGGATGCCACACTACAAGCGATGCATGATAAGCTGGGAACCGGTGTTCGAATGCAGCTGAGTTGCTATGGGTTACGGATTTCAGCCGCATCTTCTGTTCATACTGCATGGCTCCATTATCCATTGGATTGTTCGTTATCGGACCATCTCAGCGGCGTCCTTATCGGCAACTTCGCTCACATCCACAAGAGCGATCTACACGTGCTGCCCCGCGGCTGGGGAGGGTAAACTGCCGTGCTCAACAATACGTCCTTTTCTGGGATGAGGGAATATCCTGAAACATCAAGAATATTCATGAAACGCGCCGAAGTAGATGTCCATCGTGTGTTATCGTTACAAGAGGTGAACCCTTCGGGTAGTATTAGTCCCTGACCATATGCCAGAGCAGCCGGGCACTCTGTATGTTTGCTATACTACCATTTGCATCATGTGAGAAGAAGGTTGCTGAGTCAGCACGTGTGCATACACATGTTAGTGCTGTGTATAGCTGGCCATGTGCAAACACATCTGTGTGACAATCCAACACTGACCTATCAAGTGTCAGCCCTTGGCAGCTGTTGAATGTGGTTGCATATGCCAGACAGAGTGGAAGCTGGTTGCAGATGACTGTCCAGCTTGCACAGTGGGGCTTGAAGGTGAAGCAGATGCAGGGGATACAGTGTAGGTCATTCCCCAGTTGGCGGTGCATGTTGAGGATGTGCACCTGCACAAAACGGTGATTAAGAGCCTCCACAACCACATGGGCATTCTTCACTAGCTTTTTCTGCATAGACAGGTTGCACATGAGTGCACACACTGCCCCTGTCTTGAGATGAAGGGCATGAGGCAGAACACCATGGTGGTGCAATGTGTTGAGATAATCTGGCATTTGCTGAGGATCATCAAGGTCCAAATCTTCACCTTCCTTCACTGCATCTGCACTGTGGTAGACAACTGGGAATACTGTAAGCACATTGTGCATGCACATTGGGAATGACATGATTACCTTCATCTGTCTGGAGGAGTGCAAGTGCTTGCACATTAAACTCATCCACCAAGTGGTTGTGGAGACTGAGAAAAGCATGCTGCATAGCAGCAGCTAGGTCATGCAGAACATCTGCTGGGTAGAGAAAGTTGAGGACTATACCCAGTTCTGTGGTTGCACCCAGCATCAGCAACCAGATTCGTGTCCTGGAGGTGTCTTCTCCCACTGCATCAACAAAGGCAGAGAAGAGTGGGTCATTGCAGTTTCACACTGGCTCATGCAGTGAGTGAACATTGAAGGCTGGCCAAAGGTAGCTGGAAAGGATGGATGCTTCATATGCTGCTGTCTCACCACCATTTTCAACAACAGGTGCCACTTGCCAGAAGTCCCCCAAGCCAAGGAAGGGTATGCCACCAAAGGGTGCATCCACTGCTGTGATTTGATGGCAAGCAGTATCAATAGCCTCCACTGTTGTGCAGTTTGCACCAGGCAGCTCATCCAGGATAAGGAGGCTGGCTGCATGGATGAGATCTGCCTGTAATGAGTTGGGCTGCACCAGTGAATGCACACCAGCATTATCCTGGGCAGGGACAGATATGAGCATTTCTTGCTACCATTTTGTGGCCCATGCACCTCTTGGACAGGGATCCAGAAGAGACTGTGTGCAGTCTGACCATGGTCATAATTTGAGGCTGCTATGCCTGTTGATGCTGTGATGAGGACTATTTCACCCTCTCCATGCAAACTGGCTGCCAGTGTTGCAACCAGAAAGGTTTTACCATGTCCAGGCTTTCCTTTGACAAACTGGGGCAGGAATGGGTGTCCTTCATTTGTATGCTCTGCCAACAATTGCTGCAAGTGATCATAGATATGCCATTGGTCTGGCATGAGCACAGCATAGGCAGCCACTGCTTGTGCTTGCAAGGTGGCATGCTGTCCTGCAAAGGCAGCAAGTTCATGGGCTACCTCAGCTGAGCAACACTGTGGCTGTGGCAGCCCAAAGAACTTGAGGTCCTGTCCACCATCTTCCAAGTGCTCAGCAATGTAGAGGAGTGCTTGCTGTGTTGCCTGGTGCATATCCCTCATCCTCAGATTGAAGTTGGCTGCAAGTGAAGGCATCCCAGAGAGGGACTGCTGGGTACCCTTCCAGAACCAGCCAGGCAAAGAGAAAACCCAGCTGTGCTGGGGTGCGGAAAAACTCCACTGCTTCCTGCAGTGTATAGTGTCCTTCATTCTCATGGTCAAACAGACCTAGGGCTTGTGCTGCTGCTGCATAGGATGGATGCTGGACACCATGAACATAGTAGAGCTCAGCATGGCTTCTTGCTGGGAGATGCTGCAGCAGGCATTGCAGGTAGAAGACATCTCCTGTGAATGGAGAAAGGCTCTGCAGCTGTGCACAGTGTTCAGTGGTCCATTGCCATACAACTTTGCATGGCATGAATGTGTGTTCCTCCTCCAGAAAATCTGGTGAGCCATTGGGGAGCACTTCACCATTCCATGGATGCAGAATGTACTGGGAAAAGTACTCCTCATACCAGAGGGTGGCAAAGGCTGCATTGTTAGGGTGGGCAAAGTAGCAGAGGAGTGTTGACACAGATGATTGACTGTTGTTGCGCTGGAAGAATTGTCCAAAGTTCTCATTCTCCAGGTGAACTGCAAGCCATGTGACAGCAGGCATGCACATGATGATGTCAAACCCACATATTTGCCAGGCTGCTTCAGTTGCAGAGAGGTATCGACCCTTGATGTAGTCAGTGATCTCATTGATGGCTGGTTGATTCTCTTGGAGTATAGAGAACAGGGTATGATTGGCACCTTTGAATAGGTACTTATAGAGGTAGATGAATATGTGCGAGCTGGCAACAATGTCTGCATGTACATGGCAGTCAAGCTCATCCACAAAGAGTGGGATGTGAGAAGATATCCATTGGTCAGCCTCTGTTGGGCATTTGTAGTGGATGAAGCCATCATCATCCATCCATGTCTCACTTGTGATCAGGTGTGGGAAGCCATAGAGACATTTGCCATCATGGTTGCAGCAGCTGTAGTGGCCTGGATCCAGGTGGTTCCATGGGTGGGTCATCCACCATTGCACCTTAGCAGACAGTTGTGGGTCTTCAGGCAGGTGTGCACTGATCACTCAGTCCACTTGATCCCATGGGAGCTCTGGATGGACCTAGGAGGACATATTTATGAGTGATTTTCTCGCTTGCTGCAAAGAGAGACAGAATGTACCTGGAGCACAATGTGTGCATGGGGCAATCCTTGTTTTTGGAACTCCACCACATGGACCATATAGACAATATTGCCCAGTCTTGTTTGGAGCAGGTGGTGGAAGTGCTGGAGTCGCAGCTTGAAGGCACGTGCCACTATCATGGGAATGTCTGAAGCATTCTGTCCAGGTTTGAGTTTCTCTGTGATCTTGGGCCAGGTTGGGTTGCACCTCATGGTGGTGAAGAGGCTTGCTTTCCCATCTGTTTGTGTGAGGGCCAATGTCAGGGCACCAGCTCATTGCTTGGTCAAGAGACATGACTAAG